TTTCATTTTCATTATAACATCAAAGTATTTGTTATGTAAATATGTAAATTACTCGTATCAATTTTTAATGTTAATATAATTTTATTTTAGGATAAGCTATTGATGTTTATATTCTTAGGTTTTTTCAAAGTTTATAATAATATGGCTTGAATGTTTAATTAATAGTTATGAAAATAATTTTAATCGACTAGTAATTTATTTGCGTTTATATTTCTATAATTTTTTTACATATCACATATATTCATATAAATAAAGCGAAGTATCTAAGAAAGTTTGGTTTATTCTATTCGGTTTTTAAAAGTGAAAACCAAAACGGAACCAAACACTAACGGTTCGGTTCGGTTTTTTTACATTCGGTTTTGGTTTTTTCGGTTCGGTTTTTTTTCTAGCTCGTTTCGATCGATTTCGGTTCGGTTTGCGGTTTTTGGTTTTCCCAACCCAGCCCTAATTTAGTGTTACTATTTTCAAATTCGATCTACACTATTACATTTAGGTGTAAAATTAATTATATTTAACCATATTAAATTTAATTTTATCTAATTTCAACCAAATACATTCAAATAATTTATAAATTTTGCACTCAATTTTTACCAAATTGTATTCAAATGGAACATAACACTATTTGAATTTATCTTTTATCTTTTCATTTATAAAGATAAATATATTAGTAGATGTGAAAAAAATTTGTTATATCAAAAATAAATTTTAAAATCAATTTGATTATACTCCCTCCGTCCGCAAATAAACTTTCCATTGCACATTACAATGTTTGACTGAAGTTATTTTTAAATCATTTTATATGAAAAATGGTGTGACTTTTTTTTGAAAAAAAGTTACATATTAAAAAAAACTATATCAAAAGATCTACAAAACTAGATGTGACATGACTATATTATTTTATCAAATGGGTAACGAAAATAGGTTAACAAAGTGAATAAAGTTTGACCATGTGAATAGTGAACGAGTAGTTTATCTATGGACGGATGGAGTATTAAATTTATATCATAACTAAATATATATTTTTTCATAATTTGTAGTCCAAATTTGTAAAATATGACTAAAAAGTCAAAAAGGAAAGATTATTTAGGGTAGAGATAATATAATTAGAAAAAATATAAAATAGTATGAGGTATTGAATTGATGATAGATTGATAAATGTGATAAAACATAAAAAGAAACATGGATAAGTAAATTTTGATTAGAAAATAATATATATCCAAAATATATTTGATCCGAAATCAAAATATATCCTAACGGAACTAGATCCGAAACCAAAATATATCCGATTCAAATTGTATCCGAATCCAAATCTATCCGAACCGATTTATAACCGAACCGTATCTGAACCGACTCGAAACCGAACTGAAAAATGTATAGAACCGAATCAAATCTGAACCAAAATTAAACCGATCCGAACCAAATCGATTATAACATATATCCGAACCTAAAAAATCTAATTCGAAACCGATCCGGTTGACCTGATTGACACACCTCTAATTGGTAGTTACGGTCCAGTGTTGGACCATAATATGGCCCAAGAAATCCATGCGTTGAGCAAGATATAGTATATGTCAAGTGTGGCATCTTTTTATCAAGTTAACTATTCTTACGTTGTGATTTGTGCTCATGATTTGATTTTTTAAAAATTTAATTTGATCTAATTTGATTTAATCTAATCTAATTATATGAAACGTTATTTTGGATCATCTTTCATTTGATTTGAAATTATTTTTAAAAGAGTAAATAATAAACTAAAAAAATAAATTGAACAGAATGAAACATTAATGGTAACACATTTGGCCACTAAAATAGGAGCACGTTACATTTTAATTAATAATCTAAGTGTCTTAAATGAGTTGAACTAAATTCAAGATCACATGAATGTATTGGATTAATTGTGAAAGACACCAACTAAATTGGCATGTTTAACATTAAAAAAACCACTGATATCAAACTACGTTCTTAACAAATACCCCGTATAAGGAATCCACTTAGCCTTATTCTTTTAACTCCACCTGGTTTCTTTCAACGACTTAAAAGATATTTATATACTTCCTCCGTCCCAAAAAGTTTTTCCTGTTTCATTTTTTGTGCATCTCATAAAACACTTCTACCGACATCTAAAATGCCTAAAAATTACAATATTTCTTCTTTATTGTGGGTAGAAGTTATTTTGAAAGTTTTTTTGGCATTCAAGGCGGGATAGAAATGTTTTTTGGGATGCGCAAAAAATGAAACAGGAAAGACTTTTTGGGACGGAGGGAATATATGATGAATATACAATAACATTGTACTCTTTTTGTCCCTGTTTTCATGTTTTGATTACAAAATGAGAATTACGATGTAAAATTCCACAATTTTCGAAATCAATTTATTTACAATTTGGTACATCAATAAGAAATAAAAATTACTTGTTAAAAAATTATGTCCAAAATTCTACAAAACAAGAGGTTACAAGAATATTTTATTTTTATCAAATGATCAATTAAAACACACAAATAAACAAAAGTTATCAAAAGGGGAGAGAAAATGAAATTGTAATCAAAATGGAGACGTGGGGAGTATATCCAAATTTATAACTTACTACCTCAAACACGGATATACTCCGTATTTTTTTAAATCCAAAAATAGAGTTCTCTAACATATTTATTTGGTGATCACTTATTGAGTGATTTCTTAACATTTAAATTCCTCAACTTCTTTCACTTTTTTCAACACCCAACTCTAAAATTTCAGCTTAAAAAAATATGGCCTTAAAGCATCGGTGAAATAGAAACGGAATCTTACACGTTAACGTGGTACATTTCAACTAATTAATTAAAAATAGTCTAGTCATCAAGTGGTACATATGTGAAATTGCAAGTTCAGCAATAGCAAGTCATTACTTTTGTCATTTGTTCATTTTTTGATTTATTTTAATTATAAAAAAATCATTTTAGTTATTTATTTTATCAAACAAATATTTCTACTTTCTCATAAAAAGGTTTTTTTTTCAAAATTACGAAAATAAAAAAATTTAAATTAAAAATATAAAGAGGCGTGACACTCCACGCTGATGCGTCTCCAATACTCTCCATGCAGGCGAAAGTCTAAAACCACGCGAGACATGGCAATCAACTTCGATGCCACTGTCTTTGCTCTTAGGATTGTTTCACAAAAGTAGTCAAAGTTAATTAATTAAAAACTAAAATTATAAAAACTTAATTGAGATGCTAAGCAAGCATTGTCAAAGATCTTATATTGTGATCTTATCTCTTTGTGTGTTTTCATTGATTATTTAATAAAATAAAATATTATTATCAACTCTTATTTTGTAAATTTCTAATGTATATTTTAAATGTGTAAATTTATTTTTTATTTCTACACAAATCTTTTAATAAAATGAATTTTAAAAAATTTAAAATTTACTCCGTTTTACATAATGTGATAATTTTTTGGACGGAGGGAGTTAAAAAAAGGTAATGCCAAACGCTCTCACATGTCATCATAGTCCCATGTTTGTTATTGGAAAAATCTTACATGTACCCCATATTTGTACCCGACTTTGTATTCCAAAGCATTACTCTGACATTAAATGTAGGTGCAAAATTGATATTATGCTAGTTGATGGTGTAAATTACCTAACCGGGTAAACAGTATTAGACCGGGTCTAGGATTGTTTACTTGATTCGAAAAGTAAAAAGGTAAAAACACACCAAATGACCGGGAAGACTGTAGGTGGAAACACCTGTAGCCCAATTAATATTATAACATAGAATGCACGGGAGCTTTTTACAAGGAAGTTTATAGAGAAGAAATCGGATCCTTTCCATCGAAGGTTACAACAGTATTTATACTAAGTTAAAGGGGACAAAGCGTCGTGCACCCACGTCAGTGCACGTTACTGGGATGATGCGAGGCGATTGCCTCTGTCCTATAGCGGTCTTGTCGCCTAGTGAGGAAGGTGTCCCCCTTGTCACGTAGTGTCTTAGGTGGTTTAGTCGAGCATCTTCAGTGATTCTCTGTTGATCATGGTCACTACAATCCAAACCCTCTAAGATTCTTCTCTGCCGACACTTTCCAACCCTAAAAACCATACCGGGTAATTCTTGGGGGATGGGTTTACTGAAATTGGGGAGTGAATTTAGGCGATACTGTAGTTTGACCGGTATATTACTCGAAGTATACCGGTCAACTTCCTGGTCCACCAAGCATCCTCTTATTGACGATTCAGGTCTTTCTTTCACGAATAACCCATTTGACCGGTTGAACTTCTGGACCTTTTCTTTGACCGGTCCTGGGTGGTATACACTCATCACCAGTATTGCACATACATTTAATGTCAAGGTAATGCTTTAGGATACAAAGTGTAGTACAAATATGAGGTACATGTAGCATGCTCCTTGTTATCGTTTTCACAAACGCCTATTAGTTAAACATGTTCGTAAAAGAATATGGCAAAACTAATAAATTTAAATGTCCGTTTTACGGTTCAGCACTTAGTTTTTTTAACATTTTGAAAAAATGTATAATGATAATATGTAACCTTTTTGTTTTAAAGGGTTTATCAGCTCAATTAAAAAAAATTATCTATTCAAAAGATTGTTCCAAAATAAAGCCTAATTGTTACCAAAAATTACACATTCATTTCAGTGTATTCATCCAATTTGATTTTTTCGAATCGAACTTTAAAAAAAATTAGACATCAATTAGATACATATAAAACAATTCTATTAGATTTATCTTGCAAAAAAATAACTTTTATTTTATTCATATACACTACAAATTGAAAGTAAATAATACGGAGTAATTAAATTTGATCGAATTTAAATTGAAAAAATCAATAGAGACGAATACATACTCAGTTGATCAATGGATTTCCGTCAAGGAAAAGGGATCATCCTCTTCTTTGTTCTTCATCGAGGGGGGGTGTTTCGCGTCACGCAAACGTATTTCCCCAACCCCAAACACTCCCTCTTCTCTCTTCTCTCTGGTATATCTTCATCTTTTACTTCCATAAGATTGCGCGAAAATCGCGGTGTCATTTTCCCGGAATGCCCCGAAGATGCGCTTCAATTACCATTCCATTTCAAGACATCTCTTTCGTCCCTATCTTCTCTCCAATTCCAGTTGTCTTTAAGGAAACAAATTTCTGATCTTTCTTTTTTTTTTCTTTTGCGCCTCGCACCCGTCTGGGTTCAGAAAATCTTGCCGGTTCTTGGGTTTCCGGTCGCCGGAAAGTCGACCCAGTTGACTGAATCTATTTTTTTGTCTTGAATTTTGATTATTTTTAAAAATCGTTCGCAGAAAACAATGGGTTTTGTTTTAATTTAATTTTTTAATTTTTTTTCGGGGATCAAAATTAATGCTCTGAAAGTTGTCAAAACAATTCAGCATCTCTCGTTGTCATGTTTGTGTCTATGGACGACGAATAGAATCCCGTTTTTCTCTCGCTCGCTTTCTCTTCCCTCACCGATAATTTCTATCAAAATTTCCTCTTTTTCCCACCCTCTGTTTCTCTCTGTTTGGTTTCCTCCGTTTTGCAGAGGTTGAAGAGAGGGAAAATCATCTCTCCTTTCTCTCTCTTTCATTTTCTGCTTCTCCTTCTTCTTCTTTGACCCCTTCTGCATTTATTTTGATCAAGAATCATGGCAGTTTATAGGGACTCAATGGAATCAAATCTCAATAGCCTTCTGGATTTCACCACCCCTGCAGTTTCTTCTCAGTTTTTGGCCAAGGTTCGTGTTTCTTTTCAATAACCAATTCAAAGATTGATCCTTTTTTCCCATTTAATCCAGGAATTTCATTGCTTTATGTGTGTTTGATTTCTGGGCAGGGCGAGATTAGGAACTTTAATAAGCTATGGCTTCCGTGGGACCGAGAAAGGGTCGAATTCTTTACATTGGCTGATCTGTGGAGTTGCTATGATGAATGGAGTGTGTATGGTGCTGGTGTTCCTATCAGATTGGACAATGGTGAAACTTTGGTTCAATATTTTGTGCCTTACCTCTCTGCAATTCAGATATTCACCAGCACTTCTTCTGCTAATTGTCTAAGGTAATGGCTTTTCTTGATGCAATTCTTTAATAAAAAAAAATTAGACTTTGATAGTTAGAATTGTGATCAATCATGTTTTTGTGAATGAGGAATGTTGGATTTGGATGATATTAGGGACGAGAGTGATTCGGCGTGCGAGACTCGCGATTCATTTAGTGATTCGTTCAGCGATGAAAGCGAGAGCGAAAAGCTCTCTAGATGGGATGGGTGCTCTTCTGAAGAGGGGTATGATAGTGTCTGGCAGTTGAATGATAGGTTGGGTTACCTCTATTTCCAATATTTTGAGCAATCCGGTCCCTATGGACGAGTTCCTCTCATGGATAAGGTTACATTTTATTATGGCTGATTTCTTTCCTTTATACTATTGTTTTTATTTGTTTCTGCATTCTCTATGATTCCCCTTTCCAATTGTGTTTGCTTAGTAATTTAGTACTGCAGGCTACAGATAAAGATCTCTTGTGGTAATTTTGATTATTTGGTCTGCTTTCTTCTAGCTTTTGACACCCCATTTGAATCTTGCTTTTGCTGTCCTTTTTTTTATTATTTCAAGAATGCATAGGCATATCTTGTTTCTTTTGCTGTCCTATTTGCTGTTCTTTAATGCTTCTAGGTATATCTTGTTTCTTTTGATGGTCTGCAATGTTTTTGTTTGTTAAGGCACTACACAATACTCAAATTTCAGGCATGTATCAATCTGACAAATAGAATACGTAATTTTCTTAAAAACTTTTGGGTTTTTCGGTTTCCAGATTAGCGGCTTAGCACTACGGTACCCTGGGTTAAAGACATTAAGAAGTGTAGATCTTTCTCCTGCTAGTTGGATGTCAGTTGCTTGGTACGTTATCTTCATTTCCTTCGCCGGGAGAAAAGAAAATGGAAAAAAATCTCATGAAGTTTAATGTTCATAAAAAGATTCATTCCATCTAGGCCATCCACATAAATGCTGATAACTAGTATTTTCTCACAATTTTAATGCATCTGTTTAATGTCAAACTTATTCCTCTTTTCTTCTTCTTTAATTTTCAACCAATGGCTTGCATTATTAGCTTAAGAAAAAGTAAATGATAGAAGGGAATAAATGCAAGACTGAGGAACAAACTTTGATTGATTTGAAAAAAATATTCAGGTACCCTATTTATCACATTCCCATGGGGAGAACCATTAAGGACTTATCCACGTGTTTTCTTACGTTCCACACGCTCTCCTCTTCATTTCAAGGTATTCTAACTCTCTTGCTAATATTCCACGTTTATTCCCAAAATGTTTTTATTCTTTTCTTGACCGGGCATCTTTGTAGTACGAAAAAAATGCCCATAACTGTTGAAAAATTCCAGATATGGACACAAACGACGATGATTTGGGGAATGTTTTTATTAAAAAGGCAAAGGAACGAGGAGCTATCCCTCTCCCTCCGTTTGGTTTAGCCTCTTACAAGATGCAAGGGGATGTTTGGTTATCCGACAAGAGTGGTAGGGATCAAGAAAGGCTTCTATTACTCCATAGTGCTGCAGATTCATGGCTTAAGCAGTTGGGAGTCCAACACCATGATTTTAACTACTTTCTGGGTATGCGCCATTGATTAAAGTCCCAATTGTCCTTGATATCTTTTGGAAGCGGGCAAGAAGAAAGAAGCGACTTTCGATAATTAAAAAAAATCTCTTTTACATAACTGCCCTAGCTCATACGATTAGGTGCGCATTGCGGAGTGCCATAAGATAATAATACTTTAAAGTTGAAAGTACTGTAATATTTTTTCAAACTGTTTCTTTATTTGAAAAAATATTACAGTATATTGTTTTCGACTCTCAAAGTATTTTACCCCCTCGGTCCGAGTGGGACTTTTTAGTACGTTGGTTGGTTTTGGTTTGGTTTTGATTACATTTTTGTCGCGCCTTATTGTGAGACCATCCTCTACTCTTTTTTTTCTTTGTGGCATGGTTCAGTTAATGCTTTTACCCAACTATTTAAGGGGTTGAGCTTTTGGCAATGTGTGTATAGGGATGAAAAAAATGTAATCTTTGAGTGAGAGGGAGAGAGGGGCAATTTGGACATGAGCGACATTGACTTTGTTGTAATTGTGCCATGTCAAGGTTTACTTGAGAGAGAAATTCTTTGCTCTAATCATGTTTAGTACAATATATGTGTAGCTTCATCTGTCTCATATGCTTTTACTCTCATATATGTATGTACAATATACTAACTCAATTAAATATCTATCGAGTATGATATTTTTGAATCAAACTAGATGAATTTTGATCATCTGCTAAATACAAGTTATATTACATATTTTTATAAAATTGATTTCGTTAGAGAAAATCTTCAAAAAAAATACATTATTAAATTATATTAAGTTGCAATATAAATTTTAGGTGATTGATTATTATAATTTGTTCAGTTTGAATAGAAAAATTTGTATTGGATGAATATTCTAAGATGGAAGGAATAATATCTTCGAGAATAAAATTTTAAACTTATATTCATTTAATTTAAAATCAGTTTGATTGGATTCTGTTCACTTCAATAAATTTGAATTGAACAAAAGACACTCATTAGTCATTAGGTTGTTATTTGAGGAATGCAGTTTAGCACAAAACTAAGAATTACATTTCGTATTCTTGGATTTTTATAATGTACTTATAGTTTCCTAATGTATACTTGGTATATTTATACTTATATTTTTTTCAATATTTAAGTAACTTAAATTAAAAATAACTTCATTCTAACATCATATATCAAAAGCGCTTACACTATGTTATTCCATATTTTGGCATGGTCTCTTAATAGTTAGTAATCCATTCGTCCCATGTACTATTTTTGGGACATGAGGAGTGACATGAAAATTAAGAAATGTATGTTTGTGTGGTTAATATTGATGTTAAAAAAGTAAAATAGAGTAAGAATAATTGTGAATCACACAAATATAATTAAATATGGAGTGAGACAAAATAGTAAGATTGACAAAAATGTATAATGAGAAAATAATAGTATGACAAATTAAAGGAAGTCTTTCACAATGTTTTTTGACATTAGAAATTGTCACTCTTGACATGGCCGACCCAAAGGAGTACCAAACAAGCATACGGTGCCGGACACATTTATGTTTTTATTTTCAAATAATTTATGATAGGAATTCCATAAATTATGTTACCATGCTTATGAGAAATCAATCCTTTATTTATGACACTATTTATTTATGCAAACTTACCATTTATAATGAAAACTCATATGCGAGAAAAATGGTCAATATTTCTCCTATTTTTAAATAAAAGATCGATATTATATGCTCTATCTGTCTCAAATTAATCTTTCGAGTTACTATTATGATTTCTCGATAATTTATACTTCCTTCGTCTCCAATTTGATTACATATTGGAGTTTACGAGGTGAATTATCTCACTTTTTGAAGTCATTTTATTTACAAATCGGAAAATCAATAAGGAATAAAAATTACATATCAAAAAACTACGCCAAAAGTTTTACAAAACAAGAGGTGACAAAAATATTTTATTTTATCAAATCATTAATGAAATCGCGTAAGTAAACGAAAGTTATCGAGAGGAGAGGAAAAAAATTGTAATCAAATTGGGGACGAAGAGAGTATTTGTAGTATGTTTTTATAGATAATTTGATAAAATAAAATATTTCTGTCATCTCTATTTTTGTAGAATTTTTAACGTAGTTTTTAATGGTGTAATTTTTACTTTTTATTTCTATACCAATTTGTAAATATAACTCTTTTAAAAGAGATCATATTTTACATGTTCTTCCAAGTATGAAGAACAAATAGGAACGGTGGGAGTTTTATTAAAATATAAAATCTTAAAACTTTTTTGAAACTGACAAAGTTAGTTTATACATTCAAAAATACAAAATAAGTTTATACAATTTAATTTATTAAGGTCAAGAATATTTTCTGTCTAGATTTAGGCCCAGAAGCGGACCCAGGATTTTTTACCACGGGGTCGATCATATATTTAAAAATGTGAGACTGTATATCATTTGTTGGGTCGTAAGTAAAATAAGATTCATATTTAAAAATATTCATAAAAATAACTTTATGGTATTAACATTTAATATAATTTTTTTAAATTGACGTTCAAAATTTACTAGTATAAAATTTTAAATGAGATGGATGAATCATTAAAAAGTGAATGATGTATAATAAGAATTTATTTTAAGAAAATAGGAATAATATCAACTACATATTTTTTCTATAAATAAGTAAAGTGTAAAGTTTATAAGTTTTTTTGATATAGAAGAGAATAGACAAATAAAAAATAGGTATGTTGATTAATAGGTACACAATTTTTGAAGTACTTAAGAAAATTGAAACACTCCATAAACATAAACTTTAATATAGATTTTTAAATGAAACGGATAAAGCATTAAAAAGTTAAAGTTATATTTATAAGAAAATAAAGATAATTAATCTCACTCATATATTTTTTCTAAAAATGAGTAAATGAGTGGAGTGTCGTAACATACAATGGCAAGTCATTGTTTTTGTCTATATTTGTACTTTTTAATGATTTTTAATTATCAAAAATTATTTTACACATTTATTTTACTATTAAAATATGTCTACTTCTTTAAAAAATATTTTTTCCAAATATTAAAAATATTAAAAATATTAAAAAAATAAAAAATGAGGGAGTCATGTCTTGCACATGGAATGAAAAGTGGGGTGAAATTATCATGAAATGCCATAATTTCAGTGACATTTGCTGACATGGCTAGGCAAGGTAAGACATTGCCTTGCTATTGTGAATGCTCTAAATAACCTGAGTAATTTATATCCTATTGTCACGCTTCTAACATTAAGTAAACAGTACTCCATAATATATAACAATAAAGTTTACGTATATTACAAAAATTATAAATTTGGTTCCTTTTTAAAATATTGGTGCCTTTTAAATACACCTTTGCATCCTATATTGAAATTTAAATAATTAAAAACATTATAAACTTAAAAAATAATCTAATTGTTTTAACATATTTACAAATCACAATCTTACAAAATAAAATAGCAAATTCAATTCGCTATTCACAATAACAAATTCATAAGAATAAATTATAATATTCACAATTCACAAATATAAAAAGAAATATTTAGTTTAGATTAAATTATGTCAAAAAAAACATAGAAAATTAAAGCAAGGAATTATGTCAAAAAAACAGCAAAGGGGCAAAAATAAAGATTGGATTTGAGTTTGGAGGAAAATCGCCTACAACAGGTCAACAGGGATTGAAACTGGGCCGTCCAAGCAAGACGTCAACATTGCTCAAACGCAGAGTTTCCCACTCCTTCAACATGTCACCGTGGTTTCATTTAGCGTTTTGTTAAATATATACGGAGTACAAACTATACAAATACACCTAAAAATTTATATATATAGGTAAAAAAAAATTTAAATTTCCGTGGGGTCACTTGACCCCGTATGACTCAATGTGGGTCCGCCCCTGTTTAGGCCCTCAGATAGTTAGAACCAACCTTGCTCTTTGACGTCACAAGTATTGTTTTGGTATAAAAACATTGAAAATCTATCTGTTACATAGTATATGAAGCGAGTTTTGGTCCTAATTAGATTTTTTTGACAAAAAGTCTTAATTAGATAATTCTCCCTATATTTTTTTAACTTTTGAATACTTTTTCCGTCTTATAAATCTTTTTTATTTTGGGAAAAGGTGAAATTTAAGAAATGAGTAATTTTGATTTTGATTTCAATTTGTCCGTAGTTTGTACTCCCTCCGTTCCAAAATACTCCCTCCGTCTCACTCTCTTTGTCCACTTACTTTTTGGCACACCATTCAATGCACTTCTTTAATCCATTTTATCTTGTCATTTGTATATTAAAAAATTATAGAAATTATATATTAATAATCTATATGTTAAGACAAATCAAACAAGATCACACATGACTATATTTAGGCTTACACATTGAGAGAATTTGATGAGTCAAAGTGCTTAGATGAACAGTTCCAAAAGTCAAAAGTGGACAAAGAGAGTGGGACGGAGGTAGCACTTTTTTACACTTTATGCAAAATAAAGTGAATTTTTTTAAGTTTTTTAAATCATTTTTATTAAATATTGATATAGAAATTAAAAATAAAGCTTACATATTTAAAAAGTACATCAAAAGTTCTACAAAAAAAGATGTAGTAAGAATATTTTATTTTTAAAATAATTAACTAAAACACAAAAACAAAAAAAGTTGTCGTGACTTTTGAATATTGAAGAGTATAGTTTCTTTGGGACGGAGAGAGTAGTAGGGTAAAATAAGATATGATAGATAAATTAATAGTTAATGAATATGATGTAATACGTACGTTAATAATTAGTTAGAGTAAAAAGAGATATTAATTAATTAAAAATATAAATAACTTTTATACAAATAAAAAGACAAAATGAAAAAAATTAGACGAAAGAAATATACTCCGTTCTAGTTAGTACTCCCTCCGTCCTAAAACTTTCTTCCCAAAGCACTATTCCAAATTCACGGGAATTTATATTTATTTGTGTTTTTTCATGGCCTATATGATAAAATAAAATATTCTTGTCACCACTTATTTTGTTGAACTTTTGATGTAATTTTTAAATATGTATGTTTTATTTTTTTATTTCTATACCAATATTTAAATAAAATAGATTGAAAAAACTTGAAATTTTTCTTCGTTTTGCGAACTGGGAAGAAAGTTTTAGGACGGAGGGAGTAAATAATTTGTTGAGATAGAGGAGTACGAGCGAATGAGGGTACGAATCACTGAGTCAGAATGAAGAAGCTAAATTGCGTGGGAGTCACTACGAACCCCAGTGGTATGGGTATGGGTATGGGTATGATGAGGAGAGGGTGGATGGGAAACTCTTTGGTCAAATGCCCACTTGCATGGGTTAGTTGTAAAGATCCCCTCATAGCAACTCTATCCAAATACTTCATTTGTCTTAATTTTGATTACAAAATCCATCTTAATTTTGATTACAAATTGGAAATTATGTGAGGTAAAACTTCACAACTTTTGAAACTATTTTATTTATAAATTGATGTATAAAAAACAAAAATTATATATTAAAAAATTACGTCAAAGTCCTACAAAACAAGAGGTGACAAAAATATTTTATTTTTTCAAATAATCAATGAAAACATACAAAGAAACAAAAGTTATCGAGAGAAGAGAGGAACATTGTAATCAAAATTGGAACGGAGAAAGTATAATAAAGAAATCTCATTGGATAGGAGTAAAAAAGTACTCCCTCCGTCCTAAAATTAACTTCTCATTTGACTTTTCACGGTCTCCAATGCGGCACTTTGACCATTAATATCTCCATTTTTATATGAATATATATTATCAAAATAATATATTTCAAAACTATGTTTCAAAATGAATCTATTGATACTAAATTTATATGAAAATTCAATATATTTTTTCCGTAATATACAGTCAAAGTTTAAAAACTTTGACAACAAAAGTCAAAATGGAAAATTAATTTTAGGACGTAGGGAGTATAAAATACCAAAATAGAAGTCTTAAGTTTTTAAAGACCAAAATAGGAGTATACTGACAGTGTAGCGTAAGAGTACGCATTGACAGTGTGATGAAAAAGCGATGATAGTGTAACTGTGTAATATATCAATGTGATCAATCAATCGTTGGTGATGCACCGGCATTCTTGTTGTCGACAGTGGCGTATGTCAGTGTGGCTGTAATAGTAAGACAGGTAGAATGTCACAATATAGTGAGTGTGCCAGTGTAACACTGACAGTGTGACCTATTTTATAGGGGTGAGTATGGTACGGTATTTAGCCCGTACCGATACCGTACCAAATATTTCGGTTCGGTTTGGGATTTTACACCGTACCGATCCCGACATATCGGTTCGGTATGGTTCGAGATGGTTCGGTATCGGTTTCGGTACAAATCGGGATGAATATACATACCTACTTTACACCTTAAAGTTTAACAATGTCCCTTTATTTTTGAAAATTAAAAGTGAATTTAAATAAAAAAACGTGAAAAATTAAAAAAATGAATATTTAAATGCAAGGGATGCATATCAAAACATAGTTTATATTTCACAAACTAAAAAAATGAACGACAACAAAGGGTTTTTCGAATCTTTGTGAATACTTTTATGTTTATACACAAAAACTAAAACTCAAATAAAAGTATAACTTACACATGATAAAACTTCAACCAATTTTTTTTTAAAAATTACTCCGTATTATTTAGTGAAGGAATATGAAAAATATTACTCCGAGTTATTATTTTTTATAATATTTTAGTATATATGTTCGGTTCGGGATTTTCGGTATGGTACGTCACCTCGTACCGTTCCCAAATACCGTACCGACCATTCGGTTCGGTACGGTTCGGTTTTCTTCTCGGTACTTTTTCGGTTCGGTATTTTTCGGTTCGGTATTCTCGGTTTTTTCGGGAAATTTCGGTATCGGTTCGGTACTTGCTCACCCCTACTATTTTAATTTGGTCTTAAAAGATCTATAATTCATATTTTGATATTTTCATAGTTTTTTACTTGAGTGAATTCTATAACTGATCCTTTATAACATGAGGGTTTCCCTATTTGGTCCTCTATTATCAAATATTATCCTAGTGGTCCTTCTTTTATGGGTATCTTTCCACAAATAGTCCTTTTTTGATCTTCTATCATGTTGGTGTTAATTTGAGGGCAAAAAGTGTAATTTCGCAATGATAATATATCTCTTTTGTCATACACAATTCCAAAGGGTGTTCCACTTCCATCGTTTGTGAATTACAGTCGCTTTCTACTATAACCATAGTCTACAAATGTGGTCTTTTGTCGGAATTCTAGCCCACAATCATAGTCATTATTTTTGTATTATCCGCTTAACCAATATCAGAACACGTCACTAGACATAATGTTGATGTCAAATTATACTTTTAGCCTTTAAATTAATACCAACATGACAGAAGATCAAAAAAGGACGATTTGTGGAAAGACACCCTTAAAAAAAGGACTACGAGGGTAATATTTGATAATAGGGGACTACATATGGAAACCCCCCTGTTATAAAGGATCAATTATGGAATTTACTCTTTTTACTTCTCTCTAGGTAATTCTCCCAATATAATGCTACTACCGGACCGGAGTATTTATCTAATTTTGACTTTTTCAATCAACTATTTTTAGCATTTGACATATAGTTAAATAAAATTCATGAAGTATGTTAAATAGCTAAAATAATATTTCAAAAATATAATATAAAATAAATAACGATGAACTTGCTAGCTCACAACATTATATGATATCATGCACACAGGCATAACACACAAGTAGCATCATAAGTACTATTACCTAAGAGTGCACATTATCATTAACATACATATTAGGTATTTGCTATTTTAGACACTTGACTTATATCCTTCTTTAGCTTATAACCTATCCTGGGCTAAGACTTATTTATTTACAACTTGTCAATGGAGTCTTGACCTTCCCCTTCGTAACAAAAGTCAAGCTCAAATCAGCTCAGTAGTTTCTCGTTGGGTGGGTGAGATCTCTGACCCCTTTGGAACGACAGTTCACATATCCACGCGTGTACGTTTTTACCCGGATAATCATTGAACCCAACATGTATCACGTGACTCTAATCTCGTGTTTCTTATGCATGACTTGCCTCTATTTCATTCAGGTCAATCGTATCCTATAGTTCTTCTAGGTAGACTAATTCAACCATTTAATTTTCTTGCTCTTAACTACATAACATGTATCAACAAGAATCAATATGTCCAAGTATCATCAATCATGATTCAAACATAGGTCTAGCGTTGAGTGTGAACACACTCAGACTTATCGTCATACAACATAAATTATAGGTATGATGTGATAAGTAAGTTAGTACTCTGTAATTGATACGAGTAAATATGTGATTTTAATTGAAAGAAAAATTGTTTTTAAAATAAGAGGAGTATGTTTCAAAAAACAGCTTTTTTACACTATTTTATATTTTTGGAGTATAAAAAGAAAGAAGAAATATATATATATTGGAATGGAGAAAATATAATGTAAAAAAATTTACGTCCACCAAAAGTAGCACTCTCATAGTCCCATATATAGGATAACTTAACTCCATGTTCTACATGTACTCCATACTTTTTTTTAAGTACACTACCGAATTACGGAGTTTAGAAGAACCCAAGTACTCCCTCCGTACCATTCTTTTTGTCCACTTTCATTTTTGCACATCATCCAATACACTTCTTTAATCCATTTTATCTTGTAATTTGTATATTAAAAAATTATAAAAATTATATATTAATAATCTATATGTTAAGACAAATCAAACAAGATCACACATGACTATTTTTAGACTTACACATTCAGAGAATTTGATGAGTCAAAATGTTTAGATGAACAGTTCCAAAAGTCAAAACTGGACAAAAAGAGTGGAACGGAGGTAGTAATAGGAATTAGGAAGATGGTGTCCTTTGCATTTATTTGCTGTTTAAAACCGATTGACGTCATACATCTCTTTATTATTCATCCATTTCTTTATTAGATCACCGCCAAATACCCCACCAAACTGCATGCCCCTCTAATTTTTAGATTCTAATTAAATCTATACTGTAAACCAATAATGTTTTTAAATAAAGCCCGGTTCATTTGAAGTTTTTTCTTTTTCTTGAAGGGTTTTGATCTGCTGATTTCGTGCCGGGTTCCGGTTCGATCCGTTGGTTCAACCCGAGTTTGAAGATGCGATGTATAACCATTTCTTTTTGTGTGTACTCTGATTGTTCCTTTAAAGCTTTCTTGAAAACATTTTTTAAATAAAACTTTCAATCATATAAATCACGCACTTGACCACTACTCATGTCATGTTCTCTTCACCTGATCTAATCTAATTAGAATACGTTCTGGTCTGATTTGATCAGAATTGATGTGAATGTAATTATATTTAGAATTATTGCCTCAACTACATGCATGTGAACAATGTCATTATTCTTAATATTTTGTGAGGATATAGGCCAAATAAAAAAATTGAAATTTATTTTACAAAATTTTTGAAACGTAATTTTTTAAATAAAAATTTAAAATGTTAGATAGGAAAGTACTCCCCATGTTGTTACTTTATTACCGAACTATAAAGAACAATTACCCTCAAATATGAAATCAAGCACAAGTATTCCATATCAAATAATAATAGGTATACATGAGATGAAATAAATTGTCGATTGAATTCAATCTTTTAATGTATTTCAACTTAAGTGTCTTATAGTCTAGTCAAACGATCTTTTTCCTTTTTTTAAAACAGTTCCTCTTCTACGTTTTTCGTTTTCTTCAAAACAATTTCATTTTTGCAAAAAATGACTAATATATCTAAATAAATTCATTATATTGTAATATACTCTGTAGAGTACTGTAAAAGCCTTAATATATTTGAGGCCCTAAATTCTTGTACAATTTTACTTAACACTATGTTTGGTTCAAGAAATTTGGAAGGAAAAGAAAAGAAAATGATTTTCTCTCATTTTCCTCGCCAAAATGGAAGGAATTTGGTTTTCCCTCCAAGGCTCCACTTAGTACATTTTGCCTTCTCATTTTCTTTTTAATTTCTTCCACTTTTCCTTTCTTTTCCCCTCTAATCAAACAAGAAAAACGGTTTTCCACTTCATTTTCTTTTCTTTTCCCTTTCAAATTCCTTGAACCAAACATTGTGTAAGTGTTCTAGAGGTAGAAAAATGACAAAATATGAAAATAAATTGTAGAAAACAAAATAAGTGAGCTATCATCTATCAAAGACTTAATAACTGGCTAGTAGATCGATCTAAACTCGCAAGTAGACAAAAAAACAAATATTTCATGCACAAATTAAAGAAGAGATCAATTGAAAAAAAACAAAGCATTTCTAGATCTTAGTCATTCTATGGAGTTAAGGCTCACACCTAAAAGAGAAGGGGTACCCTATAAATAGTTGAATACACCAAAACCACTCTATCTTCACAATCCCCTCTCAATCATATTATAATTAATAATCTCCCTAGTAATTAACCTAGCTAGCTACACCAATGGCGGGAACTCATCATTTCCTTTCCACTTTTGTCTTGGTTCTAATCACCATGGCACTGTACTCCTTGGCTGGCCCCACAATGGCGGCCGGCCGCGGCATCCCCGACGACAAGAAGCAGCCAGAGTTTCTCCCCGGCTACGACGGAACCGTCTTGATTCCCGGCGTGGGCCGTGTCGTCGTCCCTCCCAAGGGTAAGAAAATAGACCCCTTTAACTACAACCCCATCACGGGGAAAAGCGGGTCCGGAACCGGAATCATCAGCCCCTTTGATGGCTTTATAGGCGCCGGTTCGGGCAATGTTCTTGGCGGGTACAATGCTCCCGTTTTCTCTGGCCCCGTAGGGACCGAGGTCCCCAACCCCGAGGATGGCGCGGGAGGTAGTCTCTCACCGCCATCTCGTCGTTGAGTACAAAATGAGGGTTATTGTTTGTACGCATTGAATAAATAAGAGATTAGCATTATTCATGTTAATTGTGAGAGTTATTATTGTGTTTTTTCCAGTTAATTTAGTGTCGATTTAATTTGGTAGAGATTGTGTTATTGTCATGGTGTATTCAACATGTTGCATTGTATTTAGACGTGCTTTGATGCCGTCTTTCATGTGAGGTCAAATCAACATTATGTAGCATGTCGTCCTAAGTTGTATCATTATCAATAAATTAAATGAGTCTTTTAGTTGTGTCAATTTTGGCAGTGTCAATTTTGGAGGAGTTTGGATCTCATTTTAAAAGACATTTTGCAAATCACATTTGCAGGGTGGGAAACAATATTTGCATTCCAATTTTTAATATTATCACTTAAATTACATTATTCATTCTCTCACATAAGTCTTTAATTTTGTCAAATTTGGTGGAGTTTCGATCTATATCATATTCAAAGACATTTTGCAAATCACATTTAAAGAACGTGAAATAATATCTGTACTCTAATTTTTTATATTGACACTAGCTTTAAATTGCAAGATTCACACTCCCAAATAAATACAGTCAATAATAAAAAGTAATTGTGGGTAAATATTGTTTTGCTTAAAGCATGTCAAATATTTAGCAACTTCGTTCTATGCTGGATCTCTTCCACTAAATTCGAATTTGTCACGAGTAACAACAATACTAATTCAATGCCCTTGAGGCACCCCCATTGCGGGACAAGATGGGTTGGATCTACGCAACTTGACCACTATTTTTAAGACATGTATAGTGATTGTTTTGCATTGATTAGTTGTAACTTCATAATAAAATAAGCACATGTAATTTAATGTAACATTTGGTTTTACTTCATCAAGCCACAATGGGGCTCTTACTCTCTCATCCTTGGATTCCATGAAGTGAAATTTGCACTAATTAGGACTAAAATATAAGTCATTTTTCAATGTAGGACTTAAATTTTTTTATTTCTTATATAGTTCTTAATAACGTCTAGTGAGAGGAATAATGTCGATGATGAACATTTACTTGAATAATGACTAATGGATAATGACCAATGATCCTATATTGAGAAATAAAAGCATATGATTCTATATTGAGAAAATTATTATTTTATAGCCCTATTTAGATAAATTACCCTTCCATAAACTTGGAAGCTCATACACTCATAATCACTTTCATTTAATTCTTTTATATATATATATATATATATATATATATATATATATATATATATATATATATGTATGTATGTATACAAACACACACATATATATAGGTTCGGGCAATAATATGATCTTACGAAAGAAATAAAAATGATTTATACTCGTATACTCGTTAGATCTACGGAGACTTATTAATCAAATACATGTGCCCATTTTGGGAATTTTACATTAGATTCGTCTCTCTCTTCTCTCTCCGGAAAATCAAAGCTCAATCCCACCAGTCTCCTTTTCCGTTTCCTTTTCTTCTACCGATTTCAATCTGAACAAGAAGGCAACAATCTTCATCCATTGTTAGGGTGATATGATAATAGATTAGTTATACTCCGTATTATTTATTAATTAGTAGTTATTTAATACTCCCTCTGTCCGGGAATGATGTTCCCAGTCTACGTTTTTTTCGTCCGGGAATGATGTTCCCATTATACTTATTTTTTACAACTCTTCCAAAACTACCCTCTTCTTTCTTTCTTTTTGATCTCTTTCTTTCTTTTTTCCTTCCATTCTTTCCTTCTTCTTTTTGATCGGTGATTCCTTTTTTTTCTTCCTTTCTCCTCTTTTTATTTCTTCTTTTCTCCTCCAGCACCGCCACTCCTCTCTTTCTTCAATCTGTGCAGACCCTCTCCTCCTCCTCCTCCTCCTCCTCCTCCTTTTCTTCTTCTTCTTCTTCTTCCCCTGCCCTTTCTCCGATCTGCACAGTCCCGCCCATCTTTTTCTTCTTCTCTCTTCTCCTACTCTTTCTCTCTTCCCCTTCTTCTTCTTCTTCTTCTCTCTTCTCCAACTCTTTCTCCGATTCGCACAGATCCTCCCCCTTCTTCCTCTTCTTCTTCTCCTCCCTCTTTCTTCTAGATCTAAATAGATCTATGCCTTAATCACCATCCGCCTTTTCTTCTTCTTCCCTTTCTCTGCTGTCTTCTTATTCTTCCATGTCCGCGATGGTGGGGAATGGCAGTGACAGAGGGACTGGCGGTGATGGGGGTGCGGGAAGAGAGGGTGGGGTTGGCGGTGGTGATGGGGCTGGTGGCTGTGGGGGTATGCCGGCGATGGGGTCTGGTGTGGTGCAGATTAAGATGGGGTAATTAGCAGGAGGAGTGAAGGGTATTTTAGACCATTCCATCCCATATTCCATCCCATAGTCAACCACTCATAAAAATGACCAATAGTTAATGTTGTTGAGGGTTTAGTATGGGCCTGAGCCCATTAAATCAATTACAATTAGCATTAGGATTTCTCTATCTCTTATAAATAGTGATGTAATCCTTTTATTCAATCAAACAATAAAAAAATATCAAAACCCTAATCTCTTTCTCTATTCTTTTGGAGCCCGAAAATGCTCGAAGTTTTACTTCTTTTTTTACCTCATCTTCTTGGAGCTTGAAGAACGCTCGATGTTCTTCCCTATCCGATACGATATCCGTATCAATTGATAATCTCATTCTTGAACTCTCTCACAAATCCACACAAAGAAAGTGTCTGACCGCCGCAAACTAGGGTTGTGTCGATCGATCAGGAACATCACCACCGTCCGAATTGTGTGTCGGTGCCACAGTCAGGATCGCGGTCTTCCAACACAAAATACCAAAACCAATCGTCGGTCTCCAACAAGCTCGGATCGTGATAACCAAAGATTGCCTCTTCTGATCATCATTCTGCAAGAAAAAGCAAAACCACAAAAAAGAGAGGGTTTGGTTTCGACAAGTTTGTTCTACGCCCTACAAATTGGGTTTGGCACCAATTCTTGCCACCAAATTATTAGGTACAGCCCCTGATCATCAGCCAATTGGTTGTTGCTGCCAATTAGGTTTATCGCTGCAAGAGGAAATTGCAGAGTTCAAACTAACCCTCCACCAGAAAAATAACACATTTGTGTGGCAAATCGAGGGTTAGTGGCAAGGTTTATTGTTCCGAGAAGATTTACCTCGGGAAAAAAGGAGCAGCACCTCACCACTTATTTTGAGATCCATTTTAATTTGCTTGTCCTGCGGTCTGATCGATTTCCGCCGCACGTTCAGAAAAAAATGCTGCAAAATTTTTCATCCCAAATGGAGGCCCGAGTCAAGCGATCACATACTTTGTTTATCTGTACTTGTGCACTGGACAAACTTACTAATTTGCTAGAAGTTGTTCTATATATATGGAGAAATTGAGCACGACGAAGGAATTTGTGTACTTTACAATCACTTTAAATCTTTCCAAATAATTTAAATTCACATTTTGAAACTCATATGATTTTTTCCCAAGTTTCAAAATTCATATCATATACTCCCTCTGTCCCATGAAACCTTTCTCCTTTCTTTTTTTATCCGTCCCACAAAACACTTCTCATTTCTATTAAAAAGTCACTTTTACCCATTACTTTTTCATACATTAATTATCACATCATACCTTTTTACTAAGGGGGTGTTTGTTTTTTCTGCAGGAAAAGGTCTGCGGTCTGCGGACCACTACTGTAGACATCTGCAGGAGAAGTGGTGGACTGAAAGTCTGCGGTCTGCAAGAAGAAGACTGTTTGTTTTTTTAATGTCTGTAGACTACTATATAAATTAATGGTGGTAGTGTACGGTGGTGGTGTATGGACGATTGTGGTGGTGGTGGAC